AAGCTTCTCCGGAGAAGACAAGGTGAGCGCTACCATCAGTCCTGTGTCATGCCAACAGTAAAGCATCCTGAGACCATTCATGTGTGGGGTTGCTTCTCAGCCAAGGGAGTAGGCTCACTCACAATTTTGCCTAAGAAAACAGCCATAAAGAAAGAATGGTACCAACACATCCTCCGAGAGCAACTTCTCCCAACCATCCAAGAACAGTTTGGTGACGAACAATGCCTTTTCCAGCATAATGGAGCACCTTGCCATAAGGCAAAAGTGATAACTAAGTGGCTCGGGGAACAAAACATCGACATTTTGGGTCCATGGCCAGGTAACTCCCCAGACCTTAATCCCATTAAGAACTTGTGGTCAATCCTCAAGAGGCGGGTGGACAAACAAAACCCCACAAATTCTGACAAACTCCAAGCATTGATTATGCAAGAATGAGCTGCCATCAGTCAGGATGTGGCCCAGAAGTTAATTGACAGCATGCCAGGGCGGATTGCAGAGGTCTTGAAAAAGAAGGGTCAACACTGCAAATATTGACTCTTTGCATAAACTTAATGTATAATTGGCAATAAAAGCCTTTGACACTTATGGAATGCTTGTAATTATACTTCAGTATACCATAGTAACATCTGACAAAAATATCTAAAAACACTGAAGCAGCAAACTTTGTGAAGACCAATACTTGTGTAATTCTCAAAACGTTTGACCACGACTGTAGAAAGAAATCAGTCAATTGAAATAAATCCCAGTTGGGGAGCCAGGTCCAGCCAATCAGAATGAGATTTTCCCCACAAAATGGCTTTATTACAGACAGAAGTACTCCTCAGCACCCCCTTCCCCCTCCTCAGACAATCTTGCAGGTGAGGAAGCCGGATGTGGAGGTCCTGTGCTGGCGTGGTTACACGTGGCATGCGGTTGTGCGGCCGGTTGGATGTACTGCCAAATTCTCTAAAACGACGTAGAAGTTAACTTTCAAATCTCTGGCAACAGCTCTGTTGGACATTCCTGCAGTCAGCATGCCAATTGCACGCTCCCTCAAAACTTGAGACATCAGTGGCATTGTGTTGTGTGACAAAACCACACATTTTAGAGTGGCCTTTTATGATCCCCATCACAAGGTTCACCTGTGTAATAATCATGCTGTTTAATCAGCTTCTTGATATGCTACGCCTGTCAGGTGGATGGATTCTCTTGGCAAAGAATAAATGCTCACTAATGGGGATGAAAGCAAATTTGTGCACAAAATCTGAGCGAAATAAGCTTTTTGTGCGTATGGAACATTTCTGGGATCTTTTATTTCTATGAAATGGGCTTTTAAATTATGTTTGAAATTATGGATGTATGTCTACGTAAAAGTGGTTACAATTCATGATTAATTTTTTTCATAACTATTCACTTTGCTTTCCATTACTCAAATTGCTGGTGACTGCTCTCATAAAGGATAGTCATTGTATATTGCATAACTCCTGGCAAGTAACTTTTGCCAAAGGGACCTCTTGTTTTAGGACTCTTGAACCATAAGGGATTTGTTGTCTGATATCATTGACCGAAAGCTCATCCACTATTAAAGAAAAGTGCCTCTGACTGGCAGTATGCAGAGACTTTTTCCTGTTTCTCCAGTTTTGCCTTTTGCCTCAAGCACCTTCATTAATCAGCTCTGGGTGTGCAGTAGATTCTGCCTATTGTCTGATATCATGAAAAGCTTGGCTTCATAAACTTCTTAAAAGATAAGCAGGATTCTGCTGAACATCAGCAAGTTTGCTCAGTTCAACCTGTTATAAGCAGGTACAGTGTAATTAATTACATTGTTATAGGCAACACATTCTCCACCAAGCCATGATGGAGGCTACGGAGGATAGTAAGCTCCTCGGTTTGATTTTGGTATAGCAGGTCACAAGTGCCAGCAAGATAGGTGACATGTGTTTGTGTAATGTTAAAGGGCAGTGCTTTGAGCTATTAGTGCCCAGTGGCCTACTGCCACTCTTCCCATAAGGCAGTGGTTCCCAAACTTGGGTTCCCGAACGTGGGGTCCCTTGAAATTTAAATGGGGTTCCTGAGAAAATCTGTAATCTTATCAAACAAATTAATAACTTTTTTCTCTTCAAATGGGTATAGAATATAACCTTTTAGTGTCAACTAAGGATCTCTTACACTTGCGCTTTCATGTCATTATTATGTGTTGAGATTGACTAGGGAATATAATTTGTCCATGTGTGGTCCCCTGCATTTTCTAGTGTCAATTTGGGGTCGTGTGGAGTAAAAGTTTGGAACCACTTCTGTAAGGCTCTGCTGTGGTTATGTTGTGCCGTGCTCTGAGGCTACCAACAGATTAAATATTAACATCATCGGTACGGTAACCATCCTTTCAAAAGAGAAGAAGTCTGATATTCCAATTGAACTTTGGGCTATTCCTGCCTAGTCACATCCAACATGTCTGGTGTGTAAGAGATGTGGACCAATACACTTGTGCCAACAACCATTGTCTGCAATGGGCCTATGAGAATAAAGGAGAAGCAGCCAGATGGAACACACTAAGATGTATCAACGTCATCTGGTCAGTGTTCACTGTGCCAATGGATGATCTAAAGTCACATACAGTAGCTCAGAAATTTGATGTAGTAAGAGAAGAAATTAAGTAGTTCATATTTTTCATGGATTCATACAAGTCACCAGTAACTCTGCAGTGACAGGCACACTGAGACAAAACAGGTGTAACATCAAATTACTGTATGTCTTGTTATATATACTACATTTCAAAGACACTGATGTCCTTTATTATGCACTGTCTGCTGACTGTCCAGACACTAAAATGAGATTTATTAGACCAAAATGAAGACAACATGGGCATCTTTGTCTTTGATAAAGTAATATGGAGAAGTATATCAGACAATAGCACAGCCTACACAATAATCTTCTGAAGGATGTTTAGGCTTCAGAATGGATGGGATGATTACTGTAATGCTCTGTTTTATACCCTTGAAACCACTTATGACAAAGCATATTCCAGGTTATAATATTATCAGGACACTGGAAAATTCCTATTTCCCGTGGTGATGAGGAGCTAAGGATAAACTAGTGAAAGTCTCTTTAGGGAGCTGGCGAGGTTACTGGGGCAAACGACAAATGTGTTTGACCAAAATATAACTTTTTCCCTTTGGCTGCAGGTGATAAATGTTTCAGTCAGGGTTCTTATCTTAAGCATTTCTGTGTCCGTCTGTCTGTGTTTGGCAGCCATTCATGGCCTTCAGAGGACCAGCTCCCACTGGAACAAAAAACAGTCCTTCAAGTAGGCTACACAGCACTAGGTAAAACACCACTGGCTGCTTTCTGTCAGCACTCGAGATTCCTTCCCAAGTGGCTAATGCAGCATTATGATGCATTGTTAAAATGGCCACATTGATGCCCTGATTGCTTATGTTTATGGTTAGATAGAGAAGCCTCTTTGTCGACCTAGCAAAATATGAGTACATGTTTGAGTAATGCTTTGACATTGACTTATTTATGTATTCAAAAGTAATATCTGTCCTTTGGCGGTAAACAAAGTAAAGTAATCCATGGTTAACACCACATGACAGTAGACTAGACATAAACCTATTGGTGAGAACTGGGTTACAGTTCCATTCTGAGTTTGAGAAATACACATCTTGAAAAGTATTTAATGACACCAAAAGGAAATTATTATGTTAAATCTTGAGTTTAGTTATTTAAAACGTTGTTAAAGAGATGGGAAGAAAATGCTTTAACTGCAATATTTGAAAATGGAAAAATATATATCTACAAAGTAACATTCCAGACTATACAAAGTCAGCACTCCATTTTCTTAGCTGGTCTGAGTGCTTCTTCTGAATTAGAGAAGCACAGTGAATGAGCCAGTCTCCCTGCTGGGTCAAAGGGAGACATTGCATGCACTCTGAGACAGTGGGCGGAGCTTCTTTCCACAGTAGAGTACAGTGGTAGAAAGTAACATTACTAGGAATCTAACTGTTTGCATACATTCACACACTAAATTGCCATCAGCCTATGAATTTTTTTTTTGCATAATGATGTTTGCATTCTTAGAGGACTACATTTGATGTTAGGGAAATTATGTTGGAATGACATAGACAGTAAGCACAACAGTGCAATACCAAGGTCACATCATTCACCGCAAATAGTTGAGATTATGAATATGAGAGAATTCACTGTCTTGTTGTTTGAAGTCTACTAGAATATAGAAGGCTCCTCCACCTGTAACAATGACATTTAAGTTTGACATAAGACTGTGCATGACCTCTGTTTCCTCATCCAATGGAATTATCTAGTTCTCACAAAACATAACAACACCTGTCCAACAGCTAGAACATACATATTGGCAACAAACAATACTTTGCTTCCCATAACTTTCTCGAAAAGATTATGCAAGGCACATTCAACAATCAGACATCTCTATGTCATCCATGTCAAACAATGGAATTTGGAGGCTTTTCAGAAGAACATTATGTCATGTCTACATAGTCCAATGTAGCTCAGTTGGTAGAGCATGGCGTTTGCAACGCCAGGGTTGTGGGTTCGTTTCCCACGGGGGACCAGTATGTAAAAAAATATATATACAAAAAATAATATTAATAATGTATGCACTCACTAGCTGTAAGTCTGCTAAATGCCTCAAATGTAAAAATGTATTGAACCCATACTCTATATAGCAACTCTGGTGTAACTGACCTGGTATTGAAAGAAGGTTGTCTGCTTGACTTACATAATGCTGCGTTATCCCACTGCCCTGCATAGGTTCTGGCTCTAATGAGATGACAGGAGTCTTCAGATCTAAAGTAAAGGTCACTCATCACATAAGTACAGTTCACCACCATTACCAATGGTTCACTCTGACCTGCTCCTCTCCACATCACCCTCCGCAAATGATAAACATAAATTGGCCTATGTGATCTGTGTCACATCTACATTGTTTGGCAGCATTAAAATAAAGGATTTAGTCTACAGTTAAAATTAGAGGATTTACTATTTTGATGTCCTCTTACAATGGGAGGATATTGATTCTCTGTAGCCTACCCCAAAGGTTTGTGTTAGGAGGTTATGAAGACTGTGTGAAAGCTGGTGCACTACAAATCATCCCACACTTTGATTACTCCCTGTCCTTTGTGAAAGATGATAAGTAAGTAGACCTATGTAGACTGAACAATGCTTTGCTTGGAAAAAGATAACTTGTTTCAAGCGGTAACCAGGTCAGCCTGGCACTGCATGGATGGAATTTAGTAGTAAACAATGGAGATGGCACAAATTGAAAGTACACTATTGCAAGAAGTATCTTGATTTAGTCTACCCTGGATGAAGGTAAAATGAATTGTCCAACATTAGCCTACATGCTGGTGTGTTCTGTTGTAAAAGTATGAGGAAAGATTATTATGTTACAAAATTTGAAAAGTACATATTAAAACCTCAATTGAAGCAATTTGATGTTTAGTTTTCATACTGTGACAACAATTTCAAAATAACTAAAATGAGCCATAATTCTCTAATATAGAGAAACATTAAAATGTTGTCACAAAAACAACTTAATGAATATAAATGTTGATCATTTAAATTACAGAGACAGACTATTAGCCTACACAGTTCTTATCTATTACATACACATGTTATTATAGGCCTACTACATTGCACATAGAGTAGCCCTACTATTACACAGACAGATATGCAGACTACACAGACTGGCAGTCTTCTATCATGTGTTAATTCTCTGTAATTAGCCAATATTCCAGGACCACTATAACAAAAATACAGCTGCATATTCCCTATACGATAGTGTTACGCAGTTTGAAAATGTATGTGTGAATTTAGCGTCTGCTAAATGACTAAAAATGTAAATGTGAAACTTCAGACGTTTCCTAATTAGTGCGCATTGATGATGGTTTTGGCCGCCCGACGCGCAGCCTGTAAGGCATGTCAGGGCATGTCTAGATTGGATGAAGTGGCACTGCCTATCGATAGCGTGCAAAAGTATATGCTCGTGAAAACGATTTTTAAAAGTGTGCTTAAGTATCTTCGTAAAACTTATGGATCAAGGTAATGTGACATTGATATATATTTTAATTTTTTGATTAATTGCTTGTGAGACTAAGGGTGGGAGGTGTAATTTATTCGCTTGTAGCCTAAGTGATGGGTATCAGATACGCACTGCTGTTCATGAATGATCTTTCCAGTTGCCAATGAGCTGTTCAACCTTAGTGCTTTTGCTTTGTGGTATTTCATTAAACAGTTTAGTAATCTCACCAATCAATATTAGTATAGCAGTTTTGTAATTTAAAGTAGAGGATAAATGACGCTAAAACCTCTACATGTATTCTTTCTCAAAATTATTATATTGCTTTTTACCCCTCAAAACAACACATAGAGATGATGGATGGAGCCTCTCTGATTTCAGCTTTAGACATTCTTTGCCTGTAATTCTATATCCTCTTTGTGTTTTGTTGTCTGCATGTTTAGTGTACTTTAGTGACATCAAGTGAAGGGATATTGAAAATGGTTCAACATGCACACAAGCAATACATTTCATTCAATATTCAATGCAGTGGCTAAGATACAGCAATCTCTATGCATTCTGTTTCCATTTTACTCAGTGTTCATTATAAAGATTTTAAAAAATAAGTAACTACTGAGCTATTAACTATCGTACATATTGCATTTTTATAGGAGTTACATTGCTGTCATGGATTGTTCTGAAACCCAGTACTACTTGAATGGGAACTGCCACCCTTGTCTGCAATGTGGACCAGGACAAGAGCTGTCAGAGGTGGGTATTATTACATTATAGAGGAATATTTTTGTCTTTAAAGAGAATTTACTGGATTTTTACAAAGGACAACAAACTAATAGGCCTTTAGGTGCTGGCTGCACAGATTCATCTCCTTCTCACTGCAGCCATGTCTAGTAGCCTATCAACTCAGCTGAGCAGTAGGGACGTGACAAATGGAAAGCATTTCTTAACGTTTAAACCTCCATTTTATTATGGGTTTTGAGTTAAAGCGGTTAGAAGAATTCATACAATTCCATGTGAATTCACAATGCAGCTGTGCTGCTGCCTGCAATGGTTTGGGTCTCATGTTTGGGTCTCACGGTGCGTCCCTTTCACGTGATTAACCTGTACTACTATTACTGTACCTCAATTCCACCTTGCATTTCCTTGAACTTCTCAAAGTATTGCCGTACAGGATTTCACAGGTGTCGCTTGCCTTTCTCTGCCATTTTTCCAACTGTTAACTACGACGACGTGCGTAAGTAGCGGAGAGTTGACGCCAAAATAATTGATTCCTCGACTCCTTGTATGTCGACTTCGACTCCCATTTCTGAGTGACAAGATTCGATTCCTTTAGGAACGGAGGAGACTGATTAGATACGGTGCTTATGATAACTCGGTTAGGGATTTTTCTTAACGTTAAGGATCCCAATTTCCTTTAAACGTTTTAAGGTTTAAATGTTCACATCCTTTACTGCAGAACCATTATATGTGATTACTACAGGTGTAGGATCTTAATTTGATTCTTAATTTGCAGGATAACTTTCCTGCAATGCAGGACATGTAAAACTTGTAGTGTATTTTAGGTTTAAAAAGGCTTCTGAAATTTGTAATTTCCATTGAGAAATTTCCGACTTGATTTTCCCTTTTGAAAAATGTAGCCTATCAACCCTACAAAAATGTCCATTAATTATAATCCACATAATAATTCACATTTCCTGTTGCTGTAGAAAACTGGCTCAAATGAAGTTCCTACATTTTTATGAAACCACAAAGAGTTTGGTTTGACTGTCTGTGGTGATCTCACTCTAAAAGAATCCCACTGGCAGAGAGAACTTTATTCCAAGTTCACACAAGTCCACTTGGCAGGCATGCTAAGGATCTTCACATTTGGGTTTACCATGACCTAAAATAACCCCAGTGCTCATTGGAAGGGGAAACTGTCATGTATTTTGTAATCTAGACCTCTAATCATCATATTCATTTATATTTCTGTTTTGCAACCGTCTGCTTAAGAAATTAACTTCAGTGAAATCCTTAGCTGTAAACAGGTCTAATGTGCACTGTATATTTTGATTCTTATTTCCCGCCAGGACTGTGGTTATGGAATTGGACGGTCGGCTTATTGCATCCCCTGTAATGTAAAGACTTATAAAGAGGGTCAGGGTTACCACAACTGCAGATTCTGCCAGTCGTGTAAACGCATAAACAGGCACCAGAAGTCACTGTGTACCTCTAAAAGCAATGCTGTCTGTGGGGAGTGTTTACCAGGGTTTGTACTGTATATTATCTCATCACATTCTTACATATAGTATCTACAGATCGTTATAGTTAAGACATAGCTGTGCTTTTAAGTCATAAAAGCTCTTCATCCAGACCAGAACATGTTGACTTAGTGTTATTAGCTCGTTTACTTGGAATACAACTATTTCAGACTTTTTTTCCTGCTTTAATTTGATCTGATTTCAGCTTTTACAGTAAGACACGGATAGATGGCTTGCAGGACTTGGAGTGCATGCCGTGTGGTCCCTCCTACACTACTGAGCAGCAGTGCAGCCGTAAGTCTCAGTAAAGCTTGGCCCGGGACTCTGAGAAAGGAAAACAACTTAATTATTGTATGAGTCAATTGTGTAGCCTACTGTTATATTAGAAAATTACCTCCATGTGCTGGCAACATAATTACCCATGTTTTTATTTTGCTAATTTTCTGTGTGCAATTGTTGACGTAGAGAATGCATTGTTTGAGTTATGAGATATTGAAGAATTATAACACTGTTCTTTATTAATAGAATAGTGTTATAATAATTGTATTTGCCAAAGGATCAGAGTCAGAAATTTAAAACATTAAATAAATGTTGTGTTTAAGCATGTGCCCAGCCATTTGATCAGCACCAACCTCAATCCTTTTGTTTCGCAGGAAGCAGAGAAGTGTATGTGGAAAAAGTCTGGAGCCCAGAAGGCCCAGCCCAAAATGCTGCTGTTGCCACCACAATTTCTGTAGCCCTGGTTACCATGGCAATCATCCTCGCTGCTGCCTTGCTTATATACTTCAGACATACCTTACTAAAGAAAATATTTAAAGGTATCTCATTATCCACACACAAATCTCTAATTTAATGAAGTTTTTGTTGTATGAGATGTTCACACAACCACTGATGAAACTGTAATAATGTGAATTCTGTCAGTGTGTTTGTTGAAATAACTTTTATAGTAACACGCAGGGTACAAGTAATCCTCCTCAAACTGTGCCCCCTCTAGCTCATTAATGATCTTCTCTCTCTGAAAGGATGCCTGGCTCCTCAAAGCACAAGTCAGAATGACATGGAGTGTGCAGCATCCCCAGTGAACAGGGTCACACTGAACCTGGAGCAGCAAGACCAAGACTCAGGTAATTATCAGAGTAGAACAGCACCCACTACGCTTTATTGACCAGCACATTGTTAATAGTCCATTGACGTCTCACTAGAACAGACATAACACATGATGAATAAGGGCATTAAACGTCCCCTAATTGACTCATATTCTAGTCAATTTGTGAATGCATGGTTCATAAGGGGTTTGTTAGGGTACTAATGTAACCCTCTGATGACCTGTCTTCCTACAGGTGCATGTGATAACTCTACCACCACTGCAGACACGTTGGCCAGACTGCAGTCCAAAGTGGACATGATTGGCCCTCTGGGGTCCATTCTACTAAGCCCTGACCTTAAAACTCAGGACCACAGCTATCTCCTGGAGACCGAGCCGCTGGTGCAGAACTCCACCTGCAGTAACTGCTCCTCTGGGTTTGTCTCTCAGATATCCTTTGAGCCGCCCTCAACCAGTGGGGACGTCCCACTCACAATGGAGACCCCTGTGGGTCCAATAGACAGTGGGGAGTCTGTGGCAGGGTCCCTGTTCCTACAGAGCAGTGAGGGATACTGTGCCTCTGAGCTGCAGGAGAGCCCTCTCCATCAGCATGTCCCAGTAGAGTGCACTGAGCTAGACTTCCACAGTACTGCAGCCTCAACACTGGACCTCCACAGTACTACTGACCCAGACTGTAGCTCTGTGAGCCTGGGGATTACTGAGATATCTGAGATTAGGGACGGCCCCTCCGGAGACGGGTCAGGAGGAAGACAACTGAGGAGGAGTCCATCTGACTGCCCAGAGGAGCAAACTGACAGCTGTTGGAGCAGCCATCAACAACTCTGCAACAGCAGTCTGGGAGGCACTAATGCGGTAATTACTCTTAGGAAAGACAGGGTTGTGTCACCTGTTGTTCTCACACAGATGACCATTTACTCAACAGTAGTGAGTTTGAGTGAGCAGTCACTAGATATAGCTGTACTTTATACTTACACAGCAAATGTTTAAAGCAAATGGCACACACACACACACTGGCTGATCTCATAAAATATGAGTTGTGATATCCTCCCATTATAGGCAAGAGACTGGATGCCCATAGATACTTTTTTTCATGTTTCCCACTTGTCATTTAAGACATAATTTGCTAGATGTGCCAAATTAAGTTTACAGCTTCAGTAATTTAGTAGAGGATGTTTCCCTGGACGAAGCAAAAAAAGTATTAATTCATTGATATTAATATTTGTAGATGGAAACAGCGAGCCTGCTGAAGAAGTGTATCCGGATCATGCAAGGTGGGTTATTATTCAGTTGACTAGATATCTAAAGCTTATTTTAATGCTGGAGCACATCCAACAGAAACAAAATGAAACATTGCAAATCTCAAAGAAACCACAATACACAGTATAGAGTGGTTTGCAAAAGTATTCACCCCCCTTGGCATTTTTCTATTTTGTTGCATTACAACCTGGAATTAAAATTGAGTTTTGGGGGGTTTGTATCATTTAATTTACACAACATGCCTACCACGTTGAAGATGCAAAATATTTTTTATTGTGAACCAAACAAGAAATAAGACAAAAAAACAGAAAACTTGAGCGTGCATAACTATTCACCCTCCCAAAGTCAATACTTTGTAGAGCAACCTTTTGCAGCAATTACAGCTGCAAGTCTCTTGGGGTATGTCTCTATAAGCTTGGCACATCTAGCCACTGGGATCTTTGCCCATTCTTCAAGGCAAAACTGCTCCAGCTCCTTCAAGTTGGACGGGTTCTGCTGGTGTACAGCAATCTTTAAGTCATGCCACAGATTCTCAATTGGATTGAGGTCTGGGCTTTGACTAGGCCATTCCAAGACATTTAAATGTTTCCCCTTAAACCACTCAAGTGTTGCTTTAGCAGTATGCTTAGGGTCATTGTGCTGCTGGAAGATTAACCTCCGTCCCAGTCTCAAATCTCTGGAAGACTGAAACAGGTTTCCCTCAAGAATTTCCCTTTATTTAGCGGCATCCATCTTTCCTTCAATTCTGACCAGTTTCCCAGTCCCTGCCGATTAAAAACATCCCCACAGCATGATGCTGCCACCACCATGCTTCACTGTGGGGATGGTGTTCTCGGAGTGATGAGAGGTGTTGGGTTTGCGCCAGACATAGCGTTTTTCTTGATGGCCAAAAAGCTCAATTTTAGTCTCATCTGACCAGAGGACCTTCTTCCATATGTTTGGGGAGTCTCCCACATGCCTTTGGCGAACACCAAACGTGTTTGCTTATTTTTTTCTTTAAGCAATGGCTGTTTTCTGGCCACTCTTGCGTAAAGCCAGCTCTGTGGAGTGTACGGCTTAAAGTGGTCCTATGGACAGATACTCCAATCTCTGCTGTGGAGCTTTGCAGCTCATTCAGGGTTATCTTTGGTCTCTTTGTTGCCTCTCTGATAAATGCCCTCCTTGCCTGGTCAGTGGGTTTTGGTGGGCGGCCCTTTCTTGGCAGGTTTGTTGTGGTGCCATATTCTTTCCATTAAAGATATTGATTTAAATGGTGCTCCGTGGGATGTTCTGATATTTTTTTATAACCCAACCCTGATCTGTACCTCTCCACAACTTTGTCCCTGACCTGTTTGGAGAGCGCCTTGGTCTTCATGGATTGCTTGGTGGTGCCCCTTGCTTAGTGTTGTTGAAGTCATTTTTCCAACAATTGTTTACAGACAGATTATTTCACTTATAATTCACTGTATCACAATTCCAGTGGGTCAGAAGTTTACATACACTAAGTTGACTGTGCCTTTAAACAGCTTGGAAAATTCCAGAAAATGATGTCAGGGTTTTAGAAGCTTCTGATAGGCTAATTGACATAATTTGGGTCAATTGGAGGTGTACCTGTGGATGTATTTCAAGGCCTACCTACAAACTCAGTGCCTCTTTGCTTGACATCATGGGAAAATCAAAATAAATCAGCCAAGACCTCAGGAAAAAAATGGTAGACCTCAACAAGTCTGGTTCATCCTTGGGAGCAATTTCCAAATGCCTGAAGGTACCATGTTCATCTGTACAAACAATAGTACGCAAGTATAAACACCATGGGACCACGCAGCCGTCATACCGCTCAGGAAGGAGACGCGTTCTGTCTCCTAGAGATGAACGTACTTTGGTGCGAAAAGTGCAAATCAATCCCAGAACAACAGCAAAGGACCTTGTGAAGATGCTGGAGGAAACAGGTACAAAAGTATCTATATCCACAGTAAAACGAGTCCTATATCGACATAACCTGAAAGGCCGCTCAGCAAGGAAGAAGCCACTGCTCCAAAACCGCCATAAAAAAGCCAGACTACGGTTTGCAACTGCACATGGGGACAAAGATCGTACTTTTTGGAGAAATGTCCTCTGGTCTGATGAAACAAAAATAGAACTGTTTGGCCATAATGACCATCGTTATATTTGGAGTAAAAAGGGGGATGCTTGCAACCCGAAGAACACCATCCCAACCGTGAAGCACGGGGGTGGCAGCATCATTCTGTGGGGGTGCTTTGCTGCAGGAGGGACTGGTGCACTTCACAAAATAGATTACATCATGAGGAAGGAAAATTATGTGGATATATTGAAGCAACATCTCAAGACATCAGTCAGGAAGTTAAAGCTTGGTCGCAAATGGGTCTTCCAAATGGACAATGACCCCAAGCATACTTCCAATGTTGTGGCAAAATGGCTTAAGGACAACAAAGTCAAGGTATTGGAGTGGCCATCACAAAGCTCTGACCTCAATCCTATAGAAAATGTGTGGGCAGAACTGAAAAAGTGTGTGCGAGCAAGGAGGCCTACAAACCTGACTCAGTTACACCAGCTCTGTCAGGAAGAATGGGCCAAAATCCACCCAACTTATTGTGGGAAGCTTGTGGAAGGCTACCCGAAACGTTTGACCCAAGTTAAACATCTTAAAGGCAATGCTACCAAATACTGATTGAGTGTATGTAAACTTCTGACCCACTGGGAATGTGATGAAATAAATAAAAGCTGAAATAAATCACTCCCTCTACTATTATCCTGACATTTCACATTCTTAAAATAAAGTGGTGATCCTAACTGACCTAAGACAGGGAATTTTTACTAGGATTAAATGTCAGGAATTGTGAAAAACTGAGTTTAAATGTATTTGGCTAAGGTGTATGTAAACCTCCGACTTCAACTGTATATACTGAGATCATGTGACAGATCATGTGACACTTAGATTGCACACAGGTGGATTTTCTTTAACTAATTATGTGACTTCTGAGGGTAATTGGTTGCACCAGATCTTATTTAGGGGCTTCATAGCAAAGCGTGTGAATACATATGCACGCACCACTTTTCCATTATTTATTTTTTAGAATTTTTTGAAACAAGTAATTATTTTCATTTCACTTCACCAATTTGGACTATTTTGTGTATGTCCATTACATGAAATCAATTTAAATTACAGGTTGTAATGCAACAAAATAGGAAAAATGCAAAGGGGGATGAATACTTTTTCAAGGCACTGTATATGACTGATGAGGTGAAGTTCTGTTGCTGTTGTGGCTAGGGATTTAGTTGAGCTACATGTTCACAATTGAATCTTGTTCTGGATTTCAAAGTTAATGCAGTAGTTTCTAACAGTCGTTTTTAAAGTCGTTTTTCATTGCGTCTTGATGGTTTTAAAACGTGTCTTTACCTTGGCCAAGAGGTATAGTCAAATATACAATGTCTTACTGTTCTACAGGCCACATGGAGAAACAGACTATCGTGCCAAGAGACCTAGCCGCATACTTGGCACCACTGGCTAAATATTCAAGAAGAGGATAAATGTTTTCCCTTTACAGCATGTGCTAGTCCTGAGGTAGTAATGATGACAGCATGATAATATTGCTAGAATTTGCTACCTGTAGGCTTCCCGGTGAAGCAACACACCAACTGACGTGGTGTGTTGTCCGCAGAGGATGAAGTTATTTGCACACTGTCACTGTCCACCAGACATTCTCAAATGTTGAATGTAGAAACAGTAGCATCCAGTAATAGCTGAATAGTTAACCTCTCATGGTAGGTGGTCAGGGGGATCTGTGCTAATTTCCCCATTGGCCTGTGTATCTTCTGTCCAGGGGTCCGTCTAGGCAGGCTGCCCCAGGCCTTGGTGGATTCTCTGGCTCTGAAGCTGGACCCAACGTTCCCAGGAGTACAGAACTACCAGCAGGTGGCGCTGATGATGGGCATACCTCACGAGTTGCTGAAAGGCCTGTGTGGGTTTGATCACGTCTTTCGGTACCTTTCCTCCTGCACTCTGCTGACAGTACCTGAACTACTCCACACCTTCTATCTCCTGCAAAGGCTTGACACCCTGCTCCTGCTGTGTGAATATGCCATGCAGCGCCAGGTCACAGGATGCACATGCTAACTGTTAATGCTAACAACACTTCTACCAACACAACCTAGAATGCTGACATCAACAGGTTATAATATGATCAGTATGCATACTACTGAACTAGAACCTACATGGAACAACGTAACTGCTCAAACTCTCAGGTGTGGATATGTAAACATTTAGGGTTTCACAGCGAAGCTATTGTTATTCTTAGATTATTTGTTTTCCTTGACATGGTCAAATAACTCAAGCATAGATTGGTAACTTTTTTCTAATTTGGCACACAAAAACTAGAGGCCATGAATAACTTGGTCAAAAATAATAGCACTGATTGACCTATAGGTGGCACTGTTATAAGCAGTCCCACTTAAACCCTCATATCTGCCGCGTCGTTTGACCTAGAGACTTACATTTGAAATGTTGTATGTAGGTGTCGTTCCCCGTGCTGAACAAATTTGCCTCAAGGATCCATAAGGTCCGTCGGGACAGATTTTCCTCCATCTTTAAATTTTGGAAAACTTTGAAAAACTTCTCATGAATCATAGGTAACTTCTTCTCATGAAATTCGGTATGTAGTCTCATAATACATTTCATAACTCAGTTTGAGAAAAGCTAAGGGATTGGTTAAGAGATGGCTGAGTTATTGATCAATCAGGAAATCAGATTTTACGTGTCCATTTCAATCCTTTGTAAATCCACCCCACAATAGCCTATCAACTTGAAACCTTTTAGAGTCATCAAAGACATTACCATGATGAACCATGCTACACTTGGCATTGATATCTTAAAAAACAATTTAATTTTTTGACTATGTAACGCTAATGCTTAAAATAACCAAAGGTTTTCCAAAATGTCTAAGATTGAGGAAATTCTGTCCCGACGGACCTTATGGGCTCCCGAGTGGCGCAGCGGTCTAAGGCACTGCATCTCAGTGCTTGAGGCGTCACTACAGACCCCCTGGATGGTTCCAGGCTGTATTGCAACCGGCCGTGATTGGGAGTCCCATAAGGCGGCGCACAATTGGCCCAGCATCGTCCGGGTTTGGCCGCTGTAGGCCGTCATTGTAAATAAGAATTAGTTCTTAACTGACTTGCCTAGTTAAATAAAGGTAAAATAAAAAATCTTCTCATGGACTAAAAGTCAGATTCACTCAAAATGTGGTCTTTGGACTCACAGTAGTCCATAAAGCATTTGAGAAAATAACATTGGTGCATTCAAAGATGGCCACACTATACCAGTAGATGCATATTTGAAATACTTAAAACATCTTCTCATGAACCATAGGACCAAATCACCAACTTTGGAATGTAGGCCCATGGTGCATGTCTTAACTTACTTTCAGCTAACGGATTGGTCAAAAGATGGCTGAGTTATTTTACGTGTCCACTGCAAATCCACTACACAGTGGCCTATCAACTTGAAACTTGTCATCACTATAATGGATGTCCTTGTGGTATTGAGAGATAAACATGGTAATGCTTTCACTGATTGCACATAAAGGAAGATAGGTCCTACATGATAGAGTGCTTGCTTTGTTATCCAATTAATTTTGTGTCCTTTCTGTCATCCTGTGAAGCCTGGTCAGCTATATTTGTATTTTTTATTTGGAATAGATAAAATGTGATTTTTTTAACCTGGTTTCACATGTACTCTATGTGAATGTTAATGTGACATAATTTACTGTATGTTTCAGATATTTTGTCATGCATCAAATGCTATGCATGAAAACGATGCATTCATATGAAAAAAGTTTGTCAGAAGATATGTTCTTTTAAATGCATACTGTACAAATTATGTTAATTGCTGTACTGAATGAATGAAGAAAAAGTATTTCATTTTGTATTAGTATTCCTTTTATACATGTTTTGGACTTTTGTAAACATAACTAAAATTACATTCCTATTCATGGTAATTGTGTTGTGATGTCATTAGTCAGGAACAGAAGATTTCAGTAAGTCATCAACTTCACATAATGAAAAGTATATAGTCATAGACAGATTTCAACAGAAAATGTGGCCAGTTACTGTATTTCTGCAAGACATCATTGAAAAGCAGATGTAAAATTAAGATTTGCAGAACTAGTGCCGCACTACTGACATTTCTACTAAGCTACATTTTAGCAAGGTTTCTACATTGTGTAACAATACAAATTATTTTGTTATGAAATTAAACTTAAGTTTTTCTCAGCATTATTCATTAACTTTTCCAAACAAGTACAGTATAGAAATCACAAGAAATTTACCTGAAGACATCACAATCCACAGTCAAAAATAAGAAAAAGTACAATAATTGTACATCTGTAGGAGACTGGATATGATTATGACTTTTTTTTGCTGTATGGTCAAATAAAGCTATTTGACTGCTTTACAGTCATAAACAAGCTGATGGAGCCCTCTGATGTTCTCTATGTGTATTACATTAAATATTAGGATTTCAGTGATGTCAATGAGACAACAAATTAGTATTAGCAACCAAAATAATAATGTATTGTTTACAACCATATCAATATCAATTGCTTATAGAATATACCTTATTGTGTTTTTGTGTGTGTGTGGTAAAACTGTAAACTGTTACAAAGCTGACTTCCCAGTAAGACCATCTAATTTGAGATTGACAAATGTAAAAAATGTTTTATAATTTTTGTGATATGACATTTCTAGTTGGTGATCTATTGAAAATAATATGATTCTGCCACTTTAATGCATAATATGATGAAAATATGGTTGAAATTCGAATGTGAAGTAGTTCACAATATTATACACCAGGTGGCATGAGTAGGATGATGGAGTTATACTGCTATGAAATATTGTTTTATAGGCTTTTTGCCGTTAAAGGTATAGTTCACCCAAATTACAAAATGACATATTGGTTTCCTAACCAGCAGTGGCTTGCGAAAGTACTCACCCCCCTTGGCATTTTTCCTATTTTGTTGCCTTACAACCTGGAATTAAAATTGATTTTTGGGGGGTTTGTATCATTTGATTTACACAAGATGCCTACCACTTTGAAGATGCAAAATGTTTTTTTGTGGGTGAAACAAACAATAATTGAGACAAAAAAAACGGAAAACTTGAGCATGCATAGCTATTCCCCCCCCATTGATTTTCTTCATGGTGATAGAACGTCTACAGGTACAAACCTAGATGACCAGCCTATGTACAATAAAGTAATGCACATTTACATTAAGTGGTTTGTAAGGATGGTAAATTAATACTGCACAAAAAGTGATTGTTTTCAATATTATTTGATCTAGAAAAATAAAGCAAGGTATGACAGCAATCCATGCATTGGTTTAGTTTCCATGGCACTGTTTCCACATGCTAACATTTTAGCATTTGTGGCACAAATCCCATTCAAGTCATCGGACCGATATTAGCATTTTTCACGCATCATGTTCAAATCTATAAGTTACTTTGTTGAGCTTCACAATACATTTTAGATAGTTTTGGATGATTTGGACATGATACGCAAAAAATGCTAATATCGGTCCCATGACTTGAATGGGATTTGTGCTGTAACTTACTGCACAGTTACAAATTTACAAACATTATACTATAAAAGAAGAATAGACACTGAAACAAATATTTTTTTATTTGAATTGTTTATCCGTAGGCTATCATGTTTTGTAAAACACATAACATGCAAAATCACATTAGTTTTATTTACCATTACGGTATACGTACAAGTGTTTCACTGATATTCCCTTTCCCGATATTTTACAAAATATTTCACAAACTACTTCACCATTTTATTCTTTTTTTTACCTCCCCTTAATGAAATATACTTTCGTTATTCTCTAATATTTCATATTATAGGTTGACCTAGATCTAATGATAAATTACAGCAACCGGATGGAGATAGGTAAGACCTTCACAGAATCTTATGGAAAGATGTTAACCTCTGCATTAACCTCTGTATCTTTATACATAATCTATGTAGTTATAGCGATGACAACCTCAGCATGGATGTGCTGCCCTCTTGGAACGCCAAATAAAAGGCAGGCACTTGAGCTCGGTCCTGAAACTTCCGTTCAGCCAGCAGTAGATAAAAGGATTGTAACAGGTACTATTCATGGCAAACCAATGGAAGGTGAAGTAGATAGCATTGTTAGTGTTAATGGCCTGGCTGGACACTAAAATCACATAACAGTTTAAAGAGAAACAGCAAATAGCAAAAAACAGCCACCACCAACATCATCATCTTCAGAGTCATCTTCTTCCTTAGTCTGTGGGCGACATATTGCGCCAGAGTCACATCCCCTATAGCGTTACGCATCCATAGCTTCTTATCAACGATAATGTAAGCTATGGAGATGATAGAAAGTGGCAACAAGTAGAGGAGGAAAAACGTGGCCAGGTCCAAGTACTTCCAGAACATATCTGACGGCTGTGGGAAGCTGGGCAGACACACCATTCAAACTTATCTGTGATTAGGAAAAAAACTACTTTTGGAAGTAAGTAGTTATGGGTTTATAGAGGCTTATAGTCGTTATTATAGAGGCTATTCAAGTTAAAAGGTACATTCAAAATCAGAGGCTGTGTCAGCTATGAATGATAGTAATTGTGTTTTACTAAACTCTGGAAACAGGAGCCATTTATTCATGTCTAAAAGGAAGCACAAGGCCGACACTGAACAAAAATATAAACGCAACATGTGACAATTTCAAAGATTTTACTGAGTTACAGTTCATATAAGGAAATCAGTCAATTGATATTAATTAATTAGTCCATAATCTATGGATTTCACATGACGGGGAATACAGATGCATCTGTTGATCTGTTAAAAAAAAAGTAGGGGTGTTCATCAGAAAACCAGTAAGTATCTGGTGTGACCACCATTTGCCTCATGCAGCGCGACGCATCTCCTTTGCATAGAGGTGATCAGGCTGTTGATTGTGGCCTGTGGAATGTTGTCCCACTTCTCTTCAATGGCTGTGCGAAGTTGCTGGATATTGGTGGGAACAGGAACACGCTATCGTACACGTCGATCCAGAGCATCCCAAACATGCTCAATGGGTGACATGTCTGGTGAGTATACAGGCCATGGAAGAACTGGGACATTTTCAGCTTCCAGGAATTGTGTACAGATCCTTGCGACATGGGACCGTGCATTATCATGCTAAAACATGAGGTGATGGAGGCGTATGAATGGCACGACAATGGGCCTCAGGATCTCGTCACGGTATCGCTGTGCATTCAAATTGCCATCGATAAAATGTATTTGTGTTCATTGTCCGTAGCTTATGCCTGCGGCAGGCATAAGATCAACAGATGCATATCTGTATTCCCAGTCATGTGAAATCCATAGATTAGGGAATAATGCATTTATTTCAATTGACTGATTTCCATACCATAACCCACCGCTACCATGGTTCACAACGCTGACATCAGCAAACTGCTCACCCACACAATGCCATACACGCTGTCTGCCATCTGCCTGGTACAGTTGAAACCAGGATTAATCCGTGAAGATCACACTTTTCCAGCGTGCCAGTGGCAATCGAAGGTGAGCATTTGCCCACTGAAGTCAGTTACGACGCCGAACTGCAGTCAGGTCAAGACCCTGGTGAGGAAGACGAGCACGCAGATGAGCTTCCCTGAGACGGTTTCTGACAGTTTGTGCAGAAATTCTACAGTTGTGCAAACCCACATTTTCATTAGCTGTCCTTGTGGCTGGTCTCAGACGATCCCGCAGGTTAAGGAGGAGGTCCTGGGCTGGCGGTTGTGAGACAGATTGGACATACTTCCAAATTCTCTAAAACGATGTTGGAGGCGGCTTATGGTAAATGAATTAACATTCAATTCTCTGACAACAGCTCTGGTGGACCTTCCTGCAGTCAGCATGTCAATTGTACACTCCCTTAAAACATGAGATGTCTGTGGCATTGTGTTATGTGACAAAACTGCATATTTTACAGTGGCCTTTTATTGTCCCCAGCACAAGGTGCATCTGTGTAATGATCATGCTGTTTATTCAGCTTCTTGATATGCCACACCTCTCAGATTGATGGATTAACTTGGCAACGTAGAAATGCTCACTGACAGGGATGTAAACACATTTGTGCACAACATTTTAGAGAAATAAGCTTTTTGTGCATATGGAAAATTTCTGGGATCTTTTATTTCAGCTCATGAAACATGGGACCAACACTTTACCTGTTGCATTTATATTTTTGGTCAGTATACATTTTCTGGCCACAAAGGGTTCTACCTTGAACCAAAAAGGGTTTTCCCTGGAATCAAAAAGGGTTCTCCTATGGGGACAGCGGAAGAACCCTTTTGGAACCCTTTTTTCTAAGAGTGCAGGGCACAGATGTCATGTTGATCATTATGCATTTGATGTGCATTTAATCAAATCATTATTCATCACCTCTATCAGAAGAATAGAATTGATGAAAGTGTGTAGCAGGAGAGAGTAAAATCTGTAAGGGGGACTCAAACTGTAGCTCTTACGGTGTAGAGACAAGCTCCTAACAGCCTGTAGCCTACCACAAAAACCTGGACCTCTGTGAGGCAGTACAACGCTCACATACTGTACACCTTTTACAGTATCTTCCCTCTCTGGAAAAGCGTCCTCATGCACAAAGCCCTAGCTGCGAACCAGAGAACACTTCTCCAATGCCTGAGAGAAATGGGATGAATCCCACCGCTGCCACTAGTGTAGCAGGAGGGAGTGAGAGCTGGGAGGGAGTGAGAGCTGGGACTCCAACTGTATCTCCTATGGTACAGAGGTGAGCTATCAGACTGTACCACAAAAGCCAAAATGTAGAAGCAGTACAATGCTTACACACAGTACACCTGTTACAGTAGTTGTTACAGTAGTCTGTTAGTTGCAAATGCAATATAAAAAAAAAATATGTAAACAATAGAGCAAATTATTTTTATCTTTCTATGAGAGCAAACATGATGCTACATTTGTGAATAAATTATCCAGTGGCAACAAACATTTAAACAAGTTGAGTTTTAGGTCCTTAGTATTTTGGTAAGGTAAGACAGTTTTGGCTACTAACCTTAGTAAGGTCTTTATAAGTCAAAGAAGCCTATTCTGCAAAATCACGACATGACTGCACAGAAATGCACTTTAAAACAACGAGCCTACTACGTAGTCACTAACAAGTATAGCCCATGTCTGTGGTGACTATTTAGCTCAGGTAACTTACCAGAATAAAAGGAGTGTTGAGTAGAGTAATCATTCAATCAGCAACCGCCAATTTTATAATAAACAAAATAGTAACAGAATGCATCTTCTTGTTCTTTATCACAACGTGGCAAACCACAATATTCCCAAAAAGTGAAATTATGATAATGACTGAATAAACTATAATGAGTAAAGTCTTGGTTGTTTAATTGTGTGACTCCATCTCATATTTAGTTACGTTGTCGTACATTTCTTCATCAACATAAAAATTCCAAAATGATACATTATTTAACTGTGTGTAAAAATATTTTTAAAAGTATGCGAAACTATTTGTTCTTGTCACCATGGAAAACTAACACGCGCTCATTTGCAATGAGGAACTTCACTTCACCGTTTCTTGATCATTTGTGTCTATAAATGACAGATGCTGCAGCATGTTTTCCTCTTCGTCTAAACTGGTTGGTGAGATAATTTGACTCGAAGCATAGCTACCCACAGATCCAGCGCTATTCTTTCAGGTCGTCTGTTTGATTTACGTTCGCACCAGAAAGAAGGTATTCTGCTAGGCCTACATTGAACACCGAACCTTCAATGGATTCCATAGGAGGCCATAAAATATACATATTTTATCATATAAAATCCATTAATTTAGAATGAAAGAATGGGAATATAGGCCTACAGAATTTATTATTAGGATTAAATTAGGATTATTGTATTGATGGATTTCTTGTGTATTGTGTATTTGTGACTTAAGCATTAACGTCTGTTGATACCATGTCATGAAATAAACCGTTCTCTCGACCTATCCACCAATAGAGACAACCTGGTCTCAGAGCATTTAGTATTATTCTGTACGTAAACGGGCATTCTCCTTTTGATATGATATGTTACGTTTCGTATGGTATGGTATGTATTAATTTGTGGATGTCCATCACACATTTCATATGATATAGAAATTGAAAATCGTATTATATGTTACGAATTTGCTTAATGTACAATATGTTCAGAATTTTCAAAACATACTATATGTTATGAATTTGCAAACATATGATATCTTACGAATTCTAGCTAGGTGGCTAAGTGGCTAACGTCAGCTAGCTGGCTAAAGTTAGCTAGGCTAAGGGTTAAGGTTAGGATTAAGTTTAGGGTTAAGTTTAGGAGTTAGGTTAAAGGGTTAAAGTTAGGGAATGGGTTAGCTAAAATGGTTAGGGGAAGGGTTAGCTAACATGCTAAGTAGTTGCAAAGTAGCTATAAGCAGTAAGTAGTTCAAAAGTTGATAATTAGCTAAAGTTGTCTGTGATGAGATTCGTACTCATAACCTTTGGGTTGGTAGACATTTACATTATACGCCCACCCATCCAACCATACTACTTTTGTTTTTGCATTAAGTAACCATCTATCTTATGTAACCTTTCCAAACGTAACTTATCATTTTAATTTAATTGTCTCGGATTTACTTTACTCTGTTATGTCTAGTCTATGAGACCAGGCTGATGGAGAAGTTGATTTGTGAAAGTCCCTTTACAGGGCATTGTGTTCCTTACAGAAATAAAGAAACTATGAAAGAGTTACACACTTTCATAACACCATAGATAACATTTCATGGATAAAATGTGTACTTTAACAGGGAACATGATAAACATGGATAATCACACATGAGATGAGGTTAAATACATTTGTAATCATTTCCCACAATCACTCTGTCTAATGACCCATAGGTAGGGTCAAGCTAGACTTATCTATTTTAGGTGTCATTTCCAGACTTGGGTTCAAATGTTTCTCTTTGTTAACAACCGATGGTGCACGCTCTCTAATATTAAGGAAGTCTCGAGGTTCTGCTCGCCTGAGTTAGAATACCTAATGATAAGCTGTAGACTATACTATTTATCAAGAGAGTTTTCATCTACATTTTTCATAGCTGTCTATTTACCACAACAAACCAATGCTGGCACTAAGACTGCACTCAACGAGCTGTATACAGTGATGCCAACTTTTCAGACTACCCTGGCAACTTTTTTTTTCAAACAGCACCTAGCAACAAATGTAGCTACTTAAAAAAAAGAGGAACTTTTAGCAACTTTTGAAAAGTGACTCAAACGCTAAAATGCACGCATTTTCCTTCTAAATGACACAAAAACGATTTTCTCTGTCACACACTGAGTCACAACACACATGCCTGGCTGCAAAAGTGCATTGTGAGTGATGTCAGCAGCAGGCGCTCAGCTCATGCACAGGCAGCAGCAGGCCAGCAGCAATTTCAGCAAATTGCAAATCAT